AAATCTATTAAAAATAAAAATATACATGTATATTACAATTTCTTAAAATGATAAAAATTTTTAATTATAATAAATGATACTTTAAAATTCTTAATCAAAACTATGTTGAATATTTGTAACAATTATTTGTATTATAACTATTTTAATTTCTAATATTCATTCTTATTCTTATTTAATATTTTTTTTAATATTGTATATATTTTTGTACTATACTATAGTATGTAAGTAAGTCACGTTGCAATTTATAAACTCATAAATTCGTTTATTTGTAACATAAATATTATTAAGTTTATTATTAAAAATAAAGCATAGATATTCAATTTTTAATTAAAATAAAAAATAATAAAAAAAATTTAATGAAATATTTATTTCATATTTGTTAAACAAATTAAAAAAAACTTGTAAAAATATTTTTTAGAATGAATTGCATGATATTTAGATATATTACTTCGATATGTAGAAATAATATTAATTTTGATACTTATAGAAAAATTAATACTATTTTCACATCATGTAATGATGCATTAACAACACATGTATTTATGACAAAATTCAGTTTACAGTTATATCATAAAAATTCATTACATACTACCAAAGTTCGATTTAAAGAAATTAAGTCTAATTTAAAATTATTTGAGAATCAAAATAATTATTCTTCTGTTCAATTGAAGAAAAGACCTAAAAAAAGAAAATCTCTTTCTACTTATGAAGAAATTAATACTGTAAGTAAATATATTTTATAATAATTCTTTCCTATAATATGTTTTCTAAAATATCTCAATGTCTGATAAACTTAATAAATTAATTATCTGATAATTTAATAAGAATTCTATTTTTTTTTGTAGTCATATCGTATAAAAGCATTGGCTACTTCAGAAGAATATAATTTAGAATCTTTAGTGGAAGGTCTCATTGAACAAAATTTATACATGCCAAGTAGTATAAATATATCAACAAGTTGTGAGTATATTAAAATTAAATTTATTTTTGATAAAAATTTACAAGAATATATATAAATTATTTTTATATTTTAGTTATATATTTTAGTTATATATTAAATATAGCATTCTTTACAATGATATAATAAAACATATACATTATTTTATTAATTATTTTATAATTATTTCATTTTAATAATTAAATTATTCTTTAAAATATATAATATAAGATGAATTTAATAAGAGAAATGTGAGAAATTTTTTAATAAAATAAAATTGTA